GTTTATTTGTGTTTATGCATGAAATAAGTATCTAAATAAACATAAATAAATGTTTTGAGAGAATAATCTGAAATCGTAGGGGGTAGGTTGAAATCACCTTCAAGCTACCCCCAGGGGTAATTTGAAATCGATTTCATTCTACCTCCCGGTAATCTGAACGCGATCTTAAGTTACCGTGGGGTAAGGTGAAGCAGGGGTAATCTGAAATTGCACTCGCAATTTGGGGGCCATAGGTGCATAATAAGAATGACGGTCAAATTCCACTATTTGATTGGAATATTTCACGGTTGACGTTGAGTAGCTGCCTTGTCTATCACTTGAAAATTAGGAACGATTATCTATACAAACAACAACTAACTGAAGTACCCGTTAAACGCAGAGGGGGAGATATAGGGACTTGCAGGAGGTGGTATAGGGGTTCAGATCTGAACACCGATCCCATATGTTAATTTCCTGGGAATCTTGAAGGTACTTGCCAGGTTTGGTGACAATCAGTTGAGAGGTTCGCTAGCTATAAGTAGAAATAACTTACGAAAAGGGTATAGGGACCGCATAGGGTCACATAGGGGACAGATCCGAACGTCGGTCTCCCATGTCACTTCCCGGAGAGCCGTAAGGGTAAAAGGTTTGGTGACCAACGATGCAGCAGTTTGCCAGTAATAAGCGGACACACGCACAGACTTTTGTCAAATAATAGTTTAGATGCGTACTTTACTAAGTAGGAAATGTGAAACGCAATTCCTATGTTTGCATTTTTCTTGTTCAATACGTTGTTATTTACATATTTTAGACAGGCTTATTGTTGTCATTAGGAAACTGTTGACGTTTTTAATTCAGCATCTCAATATCAATACAAAGAAATAACCGAAGTTTATTTCAAAAGCTCGTATATTCTAATAGTAGCGGGTCGCCACAGACATATTTGGTTCACGACGAATTTTCAATAATCCGACAGTGCAATACTTTCTCGAATAGACTTATGTCTAGAGGAATTCGTTTAAAGGGATGATTTGAAGACAAATGTTCGTATAGAGAAGTTGTAAATCGATTGAAAGCCAAAGGCCACAACTCTTCGATAAAAGGAACCTTCAGCGTTTTCCATGGAAGAAGAGAAAATCTTTCACATCCGTGGACTTTAACAATGTACACCTCTTCGATAAAAGGAACCTTCAGTGTTTTCCCATGGGTGTGAAAGAGTTTCTCTTCTTCCTAAGACTTTAACAATGTACACCTCTTCGATAAAAGGAGCCTTCAGTGTTTTCCATGGAAGAAGAGAAACTCTTTCACACTTGTGGACTTTAACAAAGTACACCTCTTCGATAAAAGGAGCCTTCAGTGTTTTCCATGGAAGAAGAGAAACTCTTTCACACCCTAAGACTTTAACAATGTACACCTCTTCGATAAAAGGAGCCTTCAGTGTTTTCCATGGAAGAAGAGAAACTCTTTCACACTTGTGGACTTTAACAAAGTACACCTCTTCGATAAAAGGAACCTTCAGTGTTTTCCCATGGAAGAAGAGAAACTCTTTCACACTTGTGGACTTTAACAAAGTACACCTCTTCGATAAAAGGAACCTTCAG